AGCAGCACAAGGAGCTGAGCCGACGCAGCCCAGCCCCATAGCTAAATAAAGCCTTTCTGATTCCAACGGGCTCCTGGCAGCGTACCTGGGCTTTCTCCACCGATTCGCTTCTCTTGAAGCCCTTCCGCTGCCTGGCCTCGTACTCCTCGGCTTGCTCTTTCTGCAGCACAAAAAAGGGTCTGCTACAGCCTCGGCGGGCGCCAAGCCAGCCCCCCTCCTTCCCCCTCCAGGCACCCCCTTCCCCATCCAGCCCCAAGGACCGGAGAAACGGGAACAAGGAACAGACACAGCGACGGAGGGTCAATGGGGAGGAAACCCCCTGGATGTGGGGGGGAGACGCGGGAGGTTTGCTGGGCTGAAGATAAGGACTTGGTTTCCTCGCCAGGCTCTTCTCCAGAGTTTTAAACTCTGCTTTCCCCAGAGGCCGCAGCTGGACCGGCCGGGGGGGGCACGCGGCCAGCGTGAGCAGAGATATAAAGCGAGATCCAACGAAATCGAAGCCCGTCCAAGGAAATCGAGGATGGAGCAAGAGACCTGGAGGACCAGCTCGTGGCACCTCTCCTGCCAGAGCGCGTCCGTGGGTCTTTCCACATCCCCCACCCGCCGTGACAATGCCTGGGGTGCTCCTCCATCACCCTCCTGCCTCTGCCCACAGCGTGGTCTGCACCACGGCACCCTGTCCCCTCTGTCATGGGGGCTGTATGAAGAAACCTTGCCACAGGGGACAACGCCGAAGCTCACCCATTGCTGCTGCTCCCTGTCCCTGTTCTCTGCCTCCTGTTGCTGCTGGAGTCTCCTGCAGTGACAAATGACAAATCAGGGTTAACAAACAGGCAGGACGAGCTGTTTGCTCTGCACAGGGCGGCTCTGGGACCTCACCCTGCTGCAGCTACACTGTGCTTCTTTGGGAAGAGCAAAGGAAGGACATTCCCCCTCACCTCCGCGGCCAGATGAGGAGCCACAGGCCACCCCCGGAGCCGCGGAGGGGGCAACAGCAAGGAGAGAGGGGCAGAGTAGCAGGAACTGCTTCAAATAGTGGGACCAAACCGGGGAAATCTCTTCCTTCAGGGGCACGGACAAGGGCATGCAGCACGGAGGGGCCGGGCAGACTTCCCCATCCGAGCTCAAAACAGGAAGGCAGTGCCCGCCGCTGCTCGCAGAAGTGAGCTCCACCACCTAACAAGGCTCCCTGGGGTCACGCCGGGCTTGGAGAGGAAGGAAATCAGCAGAGAGAGCACAATGCCGATCCCCACGCGCGCCGCCTCCTCTCTGCAGGGCTCAGAGCCCTCCACCAGCCAGCCTGGACCTCCGGCACCCCCTGAACGGTGGCCACAGGTTTCAGTGACATGCTCCAGAAGCACCCTGCAAGGGGGGGGGACTTGGTCCTGGGGCAGGACCCGCGAGCAGGGAGACCCACGGATGATGCTGGACAAGCAGCCAAGCTTGTCAGCAGTTTGGCCAGGGAGAAGATGCTCTCTTCACCCCAGGGGCTTGCTGGGGGACACCCAGCCGGAGCAGACCACAGGTCAGCCAGATCAGCCGGGCCAAACCTCTGCCACCGTTCCAGGAAGGTGAGCGAAGGCAAACGCAACCCATTCCCGCATCGGCAGGAGCAGACCGACGCTCGGGTTGCACGACCTGCTGGGGGCTACCAGGAGGATTGGACCCGCGGATCGCAGTGCCCGAGGGCAGCGTGCCGCGGAGGTGGCCGGGCTGAGCCTGCCCCAGCGCGAGCCGAGGCAGATCCCCTCCACAGCTGCTGCCTTAAAAGAGGTTTCCTGGAATTGCAGCGATTGCAGCAGCAGGGAATGCATGGACACGATCTGCCGCTCCCTCCTGCGCAGGGGCTGGAGCGGGGACAGCAGCTCGGAAGAGGTGGTGACAAGGGCACACAGCACCACCGAGAGCAAGGCCAAAGAGATCCCAGAGAGCGGGACGGGCTCCGGGAATCATTACAAATGCTCGTCAGCGGCAGGGACTCACTTCTGGGCTTCGATTTCGTTGGATCTCGCTTTATATCTCTGTTCTCGCCCCGCCGCTTCCTGCAGCTCCCGCTCCCGACGCTCTCTCTCTAGCCGCTGCCGCTCCTCCTCCGCCCTCCTCTTCTCCTCCAGCCGGCGGTTTTCTTCATCTTTCTGACGGGAGACGTGCAACAAGTCGTGGGTTTAATCCTGCCAGCTCTGAGAAACCCCCCAGCTCTTTGCACACCACGCTGCGCCACCAGCCAGCATGGTGGATCTCCTGGCAGCTCCCAAGGCGCGCGACACCCGTCACGCTTCCGCGGCCTGAAGGTTCACCCGCTATTGCTAAACCACTGTAAAACCCCGGTGTAAAACAACCTGGATGGGAAGCAAATACAGAGCAGGCTTGCCCTGCTGTTCAGCCTTGGAGAGCTGCCTTCACGAAGGTCAGAAACCAGCCCCCTCACCCCGATGGAGTTTGCCATCCTCAGGGAGCCGGGCCGCAGCCCAGCCCTCTCCCCCTGCGCCCGCCCCAGCAGCCCGGAGCCAAATTAGGATGAGATAAAAAGCATCTCGCTCTTCAAGACTAATTTCCTCCTCCCCTTGCGCCTCGAGGCAGCAGGACCTCTGCGGCCAGCCCAGCTCTGCGCTGCTTTCCGACCTCCCGACCCGTCCATCATCCCCCCCCTGCTTTGCCAGAGGTCTGGATCCCTGACTCTGGCCAGCAGAGCCCAGGTTAGAGAGGGAAGATGCAGACGAAGAGAAATCTCCAGCTACATCCAAATGCCTCGTCCTACTCGTGCCTGGCTGCTGAAGAGAAGCGGCAGCACTCACCTCAGCTTTGGCCCAGAAATTATCTTTATTGACTCTCTTGATTTCGGACATTGCATTCGTCTTCTGGTAGACAGAGCCCTGGGGGGAGGCAGAAGGCAGCACGCGTGAGCGGTAGTCACTGAGCCATCACAATTTCTGCATTCCTCTGCAGGAATTTGTCCCCGCAGCTCTCTGGCAGCTTTCTCCTGCTGCCAGGGGACCAGCCAGACCCTCTTTGCCTTCCCCTGGCAGAGGGCACCCAGCCCCACGCGGCCACGGGCCAGCAGGCTGGGTTGAGAGGGTCAACGGAAGATATTTGGCGTGAAGAATAAAAAAAAAAAGAGACACTGCGTGAGAGAATACAACAGCAAAACAAGTACGGTCCCACGTTCAGCACACTCCGCGACTTTTTAGAAATTACTATAACTTGATGCTTTGCCCTAGACTTTAAAGAAGGGCTGGCTGAAGCCCAACGATGCGCACGTTGCCAAAAACGGGGACTTCCAGCCCGCTTTTCCTCTTGCCTCAAGCAAAAATCAGGTTGCTGAAACACTGCAGAGCCCAGGCTGGAACAGCCAGCAAAGAAGTGACCGGGACACATGGGAACCCGGCACTGCCACGCCAAAGCGGGGCCAGGGGGAGAGCGAGGGTCTTGCACAGCTCGGGTTTGCTCTTCACCCACATCTCGGAGCAGGGTCAAGCGATTCAGAGTCGGAGAGCGTGTGCAGCTGAGCTGCTCCTTCGTACAGCTGAGAAACCTCACTTGCTTGGGGTGTGTGCTAAAAAAACCACCTTCCTACAGAACATTTCCACATAGGCAGAAAGGAAGTTGCTGAGATCTCTGGCCTCGACACTTCACAGCACCGGAGGAAGCCTCGGTTTTCGTCTGCAAGCAGGTCAAAACGCCGCTGCGCCAACACGCCTTGTTCCCCGTCCCTCGGCTGCACTGCAGCCTCGGGGAAGCCCCAGGCCTCGCAGATACTCTGCAAACTTGAAAAGCTGGAGCTTTTGTGCCTCTAAAAACCTGAATAGAACTGGGGGGAATCAGTCCTGCTTAAAAACATGGTTGGGCCTATGGAGAGGAGAGCTTAGGCCTTCTGTTTGCTGCGAGGACATCTCGGCTCTGCCACCACCCCGTGCTCTTGCCCTGATTCACTCCGCAACGAGCCAGAGAGAGGAACCGGCCCCGGGCAAAATCATCGGTGCTTCCACGGCCACGCCAAAGCACGGGGAACCCCTTCCACCGCAGGGTGACAGCGGTCCCAGACTCTGCCCCTGCCCAACTGTGAGCCCAGGGGGACCAGAAAGCCCCCACGGAGCGAACTCACCACGGGAGCTTGAGGGCCTGAGTCCTGGAACTTGCTGCTCTCCTTGTGGAAGTTGTAGTTGGCCCCAGAGGCCTTGGCAACCTTCTCCATGATGAGTTCAGGCTCCACGTCCTCCTCCGCGCGCGCGTTGATGGTGACATGAGCCCCCTGAGCAGGGAGAAAGCCAGCACAGGAGTGAGAGGGCGACTCCAGGGGCCACTAAACCCACCACGCGGCTTCGACGGGTCCTGTCTGCGCTCCCGGAGCTCCCAAGGGAAGGAAAAGGGCTCAGGTGACAAAGGGAGGTCACCGGCCACTCTAAGATAACAAAAAGCTGGGAAAGCAAATGCTTGCGAGGGAGAGAGAGGCTTGTTTTCGCCTCCCCTGCGGTCTCCAGAGCTGTTTCCGACTGCAAGAGGTTTGTGTTGCGAATCAGCCTCTGAAACGCACACCTGGGTTATGCACCGCAGGGACTATCAAGTGCCGGGGCAGCGCTCCCCAGCCTCTCCCGGCCACGGTCCCGCCTGCAAACAGACGCCCCTGCGCCGCCCCGTGAGCCACACAGGGTGCGGGTTCCCTAACCCGGGGCCCACCGATCCGGGGAGGACGCAACGAAAAGAGGACCAGACCTTTAGGAAGTTTGCTACAGTGCTGACGTGGTTGGCGCAGGCTCCTTTTCTCACGTCGTTCACGCCTTCCCCGGTCTGCAAAGAGAAACCATCGGCAGCTGCTTACCCGAGAGTCCCATCCCAGGCTGTTTTTTATAGCAGCAGCACCTTGATCTAAGCCTGTAAAATCATCCACGCTGGCCACGGTGAGGGCTTCACCGGGGCTTACTGCGTGGAAAAAGACCCCGCTCTGCAGCGAGCACTGCTCAGAGGGACACGGCGAGCCCCCTGCCCAGGGACAACGGCCACGCCGCGAGGCCTCCAAGGCTCCAGCGGATCCTCACGTGCTTCATTCAACCCATCCTAGATGGGTTCAGAGCCGTTTACCAGCAGCATCGCTGCCAGCCGAGCGAGCTACACGGCCAAAGAGACGCAACGGGGAAGTGAATCCTCCCAGCCTCTGGTCGCCTGTGTCCACGGGGTTTGGACTACGCACCCACAGCGGTGGGCACGGTACGCCCTCGGTATTGCCGCCTGGCGGATATTCAACACGTTGGCTGCCGAGCGTTCGGCAACGACGCTTCGAGAGAGAATCGAAGGGAGAAACAGTCATTTATTTCCACCGGGTCCCTCCCAGGTCCCCGCTCACCCAGTTGACGAGGACGTATTTGGGCAGGCCGGAGTTGGGATCCTTCACCCTACAGAAGGCGTACATCACCTTCCCGCTGTTGAGCTCCTCCACCATCTCCTCCAGGCCACCATCTGTCCCGGGAGAGAAACGAGAGGGCGTGAGACAAGCAGATCACGTACACGTGGCGGGAATGGCCGAGCCTGCAAGAGGCTGTTTGTTTCCTGGAGATTATTCCCGTTAGATTTGGAGTTGTCCTACACCGAGAGTATTTCGGACCCCTCGCGTTTGCCCTAGTCCTTCCGTTACCTGCTCGCTTGCGCAGGAGCCGAGCCTCAGCCCGCTCTCACCCACGCCCCCGTCCCCAGCAGCCTTTGCCGCCAGAGTTTCTCTTCCTCAGACCTTCGCTGCGACAAGCACAACTCCACGTACGGAAAAAGATCCCGGGTCCGTAACGCAAACCAAAGTGATGACAGAGAAGGGAAAGGAGGTGCCCACGTGCCCCAGACTAATCAGAGGCCTTCACCAGAGCGGGCAGCTGCAAACTCTGCCCACAGGCACGAAACCGCGCTGCGAGGTCTCCGGCGAGCACCTCCGCCGTCGGAAAACAGCTGGACGGGAGATGGGAAAGGTCCCAAGAAGCGGCGGAGGAACTGGCTACGCCTCGTTCCCGCCCCACCTTCTAAGTCCGGCGGCGGCTGTGATGAGCCCTGCTTCGTCAAATGGGAAGTAGAGAAGAAACCGAGAAGCTGGTGCAAGGTAAGGTCACGCTTGCCAACCGCAGGAGGAAACTCCTGCCCTCATGCTTTCCTCGCTGGTGTTAAACCCACAGGGCCCCTCCAGGCAGGTCTTTGCAGGGGCTGCTCTCAGCTACGAGCTTGGGGACGAAGGAGGAGAGCCCACCTCTGCACAGAGGAAAAAAAAAAACCGTGCAAGGCTCAGCGGAGGGGTCGCGCGAGACGGGCGAGAGTGATGGAAAGCGCTACGTCGCCCCACGGACCGCAGCATCGCTCTTGCTAAAAGCGTATGCCAAAAAACTGCCAGAAAAGGAGGAGAAACGCAAAAACATGTGCTCTCATTTCAAAAAAATTCCCACAGACCACGATTCCTCCTACTTTGGTTTGTCTGACCCCTGAAAAGCGGAAAACGAGCTACTGCTTACCATCAAACACCGGCAGCAACCGCACACCCGAGCCTGTCTTG